CTGTTTGTCACCACATTTATCTACGGGCCCTGGTCAGGCATTCGGCACAGGAGTGAATTTTCCCTTTGATGCATCACTTTTTGACTAGCTGTCCTTCATTATCGACCTAGCATATACCTCAAGCTGCAAAGGCTCCTGTGTCAATACACAATGATTTACAAGCAAGATCCCATAAGAACTTATTTCTTTTAATCTTCTTATGACTCTATTGTGTCAATCCATAAAGACAACCACTTACTTCAACCAGCGATTTACCAGATTTATCTAACTGCATGCTGCAGTGCTTCAGGAGAACATTTGATTTCAAGGCTAAAGAGAATAAAGAGGAAATTGAGGAGCAGAATGAGCCAAAAGAGGTTAAACTCAGTTTAAATCATGACAGCTGAAGCAGACGTTCCAATAATTGATTTAAACAATGCTAAGTATTTATTTTCTCAGATAAAACTGAGAGGAAAACTGACATGAGGGCTGAAATAGGAGTTGGTGCTATGGATATAATGTGTCTTGGATTCATGATGTGCTGACTTAGTGGACACATAGTGTAAGATTAAATTCAAACATTTCTTTGAGCTGTAAATTTTATCCAGGTTGTTTTCATTATATTGTACAATAGACAAACACTGGATGTGATTTTAGTCTCACAGCAGTATAGATCATAGGTAGCTCCACAGAAAGCAGTGGAATCACAATAATGAAAGAAATAGCAGAATCTGGCGCATATTTCTTATGAGTAATTAGTTGACCTAAAAAAGACAGAAGAGGCGTAGACAAATATTTTTATTTCATGTTCTTAGGTGAGTAGGTACAATTTTGGTCCAGATCCTCCAGTGCAATGCAACTACATGGTTCTGCCACTGGTGAGCTATGAACTGGCCAGTGGAGGATCCCACCAGTGAAGGAAGGCATTCCAATCGCAAATAGCTCACATGGTGGCTCCTATGCCACCCTTTGTCATATTTTTAGGCAACATGGCCCTGATCCAAAGCTTATTGAAATTAAAGGGAGTCTTTTCACTGGATTCAGTAGGCTTTTGATCAGACCCTATCTGGGTGCTTTTGACAAGTGGTATTCTGGGGAACAGTGACCAAACCAAGGACTTGACATTGGAATCCCCCTATATCCAGAATTCCCCCTGATTTCAAATGTGGCCACTATTTTTTGGGGTCTTCAATTTTGGGGGCCCAATGTAACTCATTTTGGGGCCTGATTTTCAGAGGTGTTGAGTCTCTGCAGCTCCAACTGAAGTCAACAGTAAGTCTAACTTTAGTACCAGGCAAATTTGTTGAAACTATAGTAAAAAAAAAAACAAATAAAAAACCAGAATTATCAGACACATAAATGAACATGATTTACATGATGAACAGCTCTTAAAGCAAACTAAGTAGTCATGGGATAAGAGGGAAAGTCCTCTCATGGATCAGGAACTGGTTAAAGCACAGGAAACAAAGAGTAGGAATAAATTATCACTTTTCACAATGGAGAGAGGGGAATAGCAGTGTCCCCCAGGGCTCTGTACTGGCACTGGTGATGTTCCACATTTCATAAATGATTTAGCATTAAGAAATCTGTAGCCAGAGGTACAGTACCAGAGGTCTCTAAGTCCCAAACAAAATGTACCTAGTTTACCTGTAGAGTAACAGGTGGCAGTGAATCTAACTCTTTTTTTAGTTGATGTCTACCAAAGCCAGGTATTGGGGGCAAGCGCTTCAAATAGAGGATTTAGGAATAGTGATTGATACAGCTTCCATTGAAATCAATGGAAAAAATGACCATTAACGTCAGTGGAAACAGGTGCTCTTCTTGTCTGCAATAGCTTACAGTCTAGTGGTTAGATAAGATTGGTACATAGTTGCACAGGAGGGCTGAGGGCAAAAGAATATTTTTACTCATACACAGGGATTGAGCATAATTACCTTGTCCACAGGTAAGTACAAAGGCTATGGAAGACAAGCCACTGCTAGTATCACTAGTTAGCTCAATGGTGGTGGAGAGAGGATGGAGGGAAGTCAGGGCTGCCTCACTGGTTGCTGTGGAGGGGATAACACATAATGAGCACTTAAGGCATGGGGAAGTGGCCATGGTCACCCAGTACTTTGGCCGTTAGAGTACACTGTAGGGGTTTTGAATACCCGTATAATTCATGTCCTGATTCATTTTGCTGCAGTGTTTGCAGCACTGTGTTTCGGCACTTGGGACAGGATCGCCATGTGCTAAATGGAGCTGGGACGTGAACCCCGCTCAATGGGAGCTGGTAGGTGTTCAGCACTTGTGGAAATCAAGCCACTTATTTAGATGCCTAAATGGATGTAGGTGCCTATCTTTGAAAATCTTGGCCCAGGGGTTGAAGTCATTTCAGAGACATGCATTAAGGCAAAAGCAAGAGTCCCACCTTCTGATACAGCAGTTGGCTTTGGCTAAACCTATTCTATTGTCTCTGAAACAAGATGACTTGAGTCTATGTGGGTGCCCTCTCTCCCCTCCCCCTTAGCAGTTAAGGATAAGGGATTGTCTACATGCCGAAAAAAGTCGATGTATCTTCCTCTGCCTGTTCTGAGATGCTGCAACATCTTCTATTATTATCCTCTTCATTTTCTTTTCCCCCTCAGGATGACAGGCTTAATGACAAATGACGGAAACGCCTGAAGTAAGGTATTAGTCTGCGGCAGCAGAGATAAAAACAAATAATTGATTAAGAGGGATTTGCAAGTAAATGTTTGTCTTCCTTTCATCAAGTACAGCTGCCTAAGGCTGGTCTGCTGCCTGAGACTGAGGCATGTAGGAACAGGCTTCTTCCTCTGGGGAGTGGCACAAGTGGGGTAGGTTAGCTGTTTGGAGTCCCTCAGAGGGAAAAACCTGGGTTTCTTCACTATGAATTGGATTTTGGCTTTTTCAGCATTCTAATTGCTGCATAGAGGGATTAGAGTGTGTATATAATGCTGTACCTTGATGCTGCTGAACGTCTATAAAGGGTATGACTTTATGTATTTATATGTTGTATTAATAGGCCTGAGGAGAAAAGCCTGTTAGTCCTCTAAGAAGCAAAGCAGACTGGGATTACCTGCTAGTAAGTGCTGAGCAGGACTCTCTTCATCAGTGCAGGGCTAGGATCATTAGGGGAAGAGTTTGTGCAGCAAAGGAGACAAGACAAACTCACTCATGGAGCCAAGGACATCCTTGATCTGGGTCTTTTTTTTTTTTTTTAATAATAGCTTGGTTAGTGGTAGGCATTGGGCTGATTGTACCATCCCAGTAAACCACCTCTGTAGTGAAATGGGCTTTCCTCTTTCTAGTGTTCATCACACCCAGGATTCATAATGCAGCGTCTTTTCAGTAAGGATGAAGTTTAACTTTTGAAAGCTGAAGTCCAATGAAGCAGAAGCTCTGCTTTTCTTCATGTAATGAGATAGTTTTAGACTGACTCTATAAGGCTCAAATAATCTTTACATCGGTATCTCCGGTACCGGTGCAAGCCCTTAGTGTAGACATGCCACAGCAACAAAAACCGTGACTTGCACTACTGTGGTTTAACTCAGTTTGAAACCAGTGTGAACTGTACCAGTGCACATCTCAGTTTACACCAGTGCAAAGTATTTATGCTAAGGATGTGTACAGATGCAGCTACGTGGGTTTGCTATGCCAGTACAAAAAAACCCCCAAACATGAGCTTCACAAAGGTATTTAGGCACCTAACTTCCACCCCTACTGTATATAAGACATCAGTCACAGCTGGGGGGTATTATAAGTAGTTACCTCAGAGCAGGGAGTTGGGTAGAGCTAAATGTGGGGGCAGAATCTGATCTCTGTTGCACTGATGAAAATCTGAAGTAATTCCATTGGTTCCAAGGAGTTAATCCAGGATTAAATCAGTGTAATTGATATCAGAATCCAGCCTATAATTGGGCCAATGCATCCAAAAGAACTAATAATCATTAGAAGACTGTAGCTTCAGTGAAGACTAAGTAAAACAAATGGGGAGCCCCTGAGATCACATGCAGCGGCTGCTTTCAAAATGAGAGAAAGCTGAGTTTTCTGCAGCCCAGAGCATCTCCAATTCTGGTGGAAGTGTTGCAGGTGCTCAGCACTCTGAAAATCAGACCCACACTATTTCATATTGCCTACAAAACAGAAAAAACGATGGTTTTTTTTCCTAATTAACAGCAGCCCTGCCTATGGAACGCTTGTATTTGCATTGAAGCAAACTGATTTCCTCTGCTATATGAGAATAAAGCTGATGGGTTAGGTTATTCACTCTGGAGCTAATGTGGCCCACAATAAATCTACCAGAAGTAACATTTGAAAGTCATTCAGAGAGTTTAGGTGGGATACACAGACACACTGGTAAGAGTCTGAACTTTCTTGCCTGACAGTGGTAACCTGACATGGAATCCCCCATCACATGTCAGGGCTCATTAGGCACTTACTATAGTGCTGCTGTTTCAGAGAGGATTCTGCTCAGAAATCAACATGCACATCCACCTTGAAACTACATCATCTGCCCAGATTCAAAACGTTTGTTCCAAAGCTTTAGCTCACAATTTCACAAAGTGAAACTGATGATTTTTAGTGCAATTGAGCAAATGGACCAGTGGTGGAGCACAGTATTATTCAGTGACAATTTTCAGGAGACTCCTAGGTAGCTCACAGAATGTAGTAAAATGCATCCATAAAATATATTTCTCCTTATAAAATATGGGCCTGAACCTTCTTCATTTGAGTTCAATGATAATCTTCATTGTCTTCAGTGAGGGCAGAGCAGGTTCATTATGGTATTTTTACAATAACATATACACTTGTGCAGGCGTGTGTGTGTGTATATATCATTAGGGTTATTATATTATATGACATATAGTTGTATTTTAAAGAATGATCATCACTTTGTCTAATATACTCTCTGCAGTCACTAAAGATTTCTGCATTTAGAAGCACCAGGGATATAAGGAAATCTGCTGCCTTGGTCTGGTCCCAGATTCATGGGCTGTATTAATGGATAGGATTAGCAAATAAGAACAGGTCAGAGGGCTGCAAAGCTCTTTCTTGTCTCTTGAGATTTCCCTGTTTAGTTTCAGTCTCAGTGCACCGCTTCCTAGAATGCAAGGAGCAGAAGTTTAAGAAAGCCAGAGCCCATTTTCTTTTACTGGGCATTTGAGACTAACCGTGGGGGGGGAGAAAGGGCAAGTTCTGGGTCACGGGCTTTGCCTGAAAATGTCTCTCCAGTTTTCTCAACAGGCACCGTGGAGGAACAACAACATCACCTTTCTGAACAAAGAGCCTCCTGTCTCAGAACAAGGAGAGACTATTATAGGCTTCTACCTACTGGCTTTAGGTATGTACTGTACCTCTGAATGGCTTATGAAATGAAACTCCTTTTTAAGTTTGGACTAAAGTTCAAAGGGATTCCTATAGTGTTCATCCACAAAGGAACAAGGTGTCATAAACTGCAACTTTTTCTTCAGAAAGTTCTTTCAAAAAAAAAAGGAGCTAGTGGTTTTTTTATTAGTATTATATTTTATTTTAAATGCAAACATTTGTATTGGGGGCAAAAGGATATGATATTATAGTCCAAGCTATTCCTTTAACTAAGGTTCATTTAGGATGTGGATATGAACAAAATATCTTGTGCAGAAAAATATGACATTACCTTGTTTTCTCAAAATGTCTCAATGGCATTCAATTAGTGTTCTATGCTTCTATCTTCTGCTTACTGAAGTCTGTATTCAGATTGTTCAGCAAATAGTTCACCTTCTAAAACTAATACATTTAGTTAAATGAAATAGAATTCTACAATCATATTTTAAATTTGTTTGTAAAATTCTTCCATCTAATATTTTATATACATTTAGAGGAAACTTTCTTGATCTGAGTCTATTAAAGATTCCTTAAAGTACTAAACTATTACTCATTATCAGTAGTTACAATAATATGTGCATAAGTCTAAAAACTTGATATTCAGATTACATTGCAAGGCAGTTATTATACACTCATATTAAAAGTGTTTGAAAATGGAACCTCGTATTAACTCACTTTGTTCCTAAGACTTTTTTTTGATTAAGTACTGTATTGTAATTTACAGCAAACTCAGTGCAGGATGATGGTGAATTACCATATCTGTTGTTCTGTAGGCAGACTTTATGAAATGTCAAAGAATGTAGATGTACCAGTTGACAAAGAAAATAAAAATAGCCATTTATTATTCTGACTTCATATGAAACAATATCAAAAGGTAACTGTTTTCCAGAGAATAATTCACAATCACGTCTTAGCTTTATAGTGATTCTATCTAATCGATCTATCTATGTTTTTAAATGATAAAGAAATGAAACTGCATATAAAAGATGTTGCACATAATGAGAACTCCACAGCAATGTAACTAGAAATAGTTCCTGAGTACAACCATTGAGAAACAGGCTTGTAAATTAAATAATCACGCTAAATAAACTTTTCTTTTTCTAAGCTTATCATGTATTCCCCCTGGTACCAGCAGCTGCAAACCACCACCTGATACTTGTAAAGGAAAACACACAGCCATGATGAAGAGGCTTGAAGGCCTTTCCTTCTGTCTATACGAGACTGACATCTTTATCAACAAAAATAGCCGACATAATGTAGTTGGAGTAAAGAATAAGACAGTTCAGAAAAAAGTTGGAAAAAAAATAGCAGCCACTTTATTAGGAAGCAGAATAAAAATAATGTGGTCAAAAGGAAGTAGAGATGTTCTGATTTATCCCAGACCTATGTGCACAGGTGCAAACACATTCATGCAGCATCAGCAGCCTAGAAAGCACACAGCACAATCAACTACTGAATGAACCATACTAGAACACATTCTCAATTAGGGCTTGATCCTGTATTTATTGACGTCAATGACAAAACACACATTGACTTCAGTGGTTCAAGATCAGGTCTGAACTAATTAGCCCTGCTGAGAATGGGATTCTGTGATTACTTGGTACCTACCAGACTCCTCCCCAGCCCTTTGATACTGCAGGTTTCTCTAAAGAAATAAAAATGATACAATGAAGAATAATAAAAAGAGTTTTCCCTTTCTTTTACAAATATTGTCTTTTGGGAAATGTCTCAGAATGCTTAGAGCTGGTTGACATATTGGGACAAATCGATCCTTGATGTAACTTCATTGTGAATCTGAAGTCTCTAGTACACTCTCAGTGTTCACTTCAGTAGTGAATACATTTTGATTTGTGTTATTGCTGGAAAAGCTAGTAATTTCCCAAGCAGACATCATTCCTACTGATCTGGTGGAACACCTCAAAGTCTTACAAATGATTAGCTAGTAGAGACGATTGACAATTTTCATTCAACATATTTTTAAATGAAAAATGCCTTTTTTGTTAAAACAGCTATTTCTGAGGTAAATGTCAATTTCTGACTATTTTTGGGGGGTGGGGGTGGAGATGAGGTATACATAAAGCAGAACATTTCAGTTTTTTGGCCACCGTGGTTTGTTTCTAGGGTTGCTGAGAACCAAAAACTGCTGGTTTTCAGTCAAAACCCAGAAATGTGTGAAGAAATTTTTTTGATGAAAATTTAAAAAAAAATGTATTCTGGTACTCTTTATTCCTATAAAAAAATTATTTCCTGGCCAGTTCTACTAGCTAGCACCTCATCCATATGCATATTTAAACCTTTTCACATTTCAGTGTACTTCTACTATATCTATTACAGGACCAATGAGTTTCTTTATGCTTATTTGAAATTAGACAGAGGCACGAATCAATACACTAGATCCAAACATTCCCAAGCTTTGGATTCAGATCTACACTTCATCTAACTTCTTGCTTTAAGGCCTAAACTCTACTCGTAAACAAGTTTCTCTATTGCTTTTTGCCCTGTACTCTTTTAAAATGTGGTCCTACTATGATAACTGACTCCTTACATATGGCAGCAAAGGTTTTCATGTTTGTTAGCTCTCAATTGCTCCACTGCAGGTACCCCATGTTTATAAGTAGAGATGTTTCATAATTGCCAGCCCTGTTCACTCTAGCTCAGGTATAATCACCAGTAAAACTTGTCCAACTGAGGTGTCTTAGAGGTGTAGTTCAAGTGCAACTGATATGTACAATTTTGCATTTGGAACTTAATTGTACATTCTGTTGACGATGTAACAACCAGGAGAGACTCTACCTCGCTTTCCCATAGCTGTATTGACTTTGTTCTGCAATGTTAACCACAATCTTTATGTCAGTAAAGTCAGAAGATACAACTAATCTACCCAGGAAGCAGGGCAGTGGTATAAGGAGGTGTTATATTTCACATTGTCACGTCTTGCTTATAAGGGCTTTCAAGGAGCAAAGCTTGCTCTGGAAGGAAGATATTTCAGTGTATATGTATTATACCCATGTGTCTGGCTTACAGCAGGCAACCATAAAAGATCATATGCATTAGCAAGAACCCAGCGATGTTTATACAGAATAGCCTGCTAATATGGTGCCTGTGAAAGACAGTTGTTGCACTTTGGGAACTGCTAAAGAAGGTGCCCTACTCTCTTGAATCCTGAGATTTCAATGATGTTTATGGTTAGTTATCAATTTTTTTTACCACATACATATTTGAGAGACTTCAGCACTCCAAATACTGTACTTAGGGACTCGTTCTTACTTCCCAAGAGATATCACAATTAGAGCTGAATGAATTATTTTCAACTAACAGATTTTTTTTCGCAAAAAGTGCATTTTTTGGTACTCTGAATCTACATGCAAATTCAGGTAGAATTTGACAAATAGTTTTGGCTGAGGAAAAAAACGGATCTTTTTTCAAAAGAGTCTAAACTTGACTTTTGTTTCAAAATGACATTTCAAATTCAAATGTGGCTAATTTTTTCAAGAAAACAAAAAAAAGGCTGAAAAACACCTTAAAAAGACGGAATCAAAATGAAAAATTTGAAAAAATATGTCAATCAAACAAAATCATTGATACAAATATTAAATAGCATAGAGCCAAGAACTGAGCCCTATGCGACCTCACTGGAAACATACCTGCTCAAAGATGATTCTCTGTTTACAGTTACATGTTGAGACCTATCAGTTAGCAAGTTTTTAATCCATTTAATGTGTGCCTTGTTAATTTTATATCATGCTAGTTTTTTAATCAAAATGTTGTATGGTACCAAATCAAACTCTGTATAGAAGTCTAAGTATATTAAATCAATACTACCTTTATCAACCATACTTGAAATCTCATCAAAAAAGGACAGGAGTACTTGTGGCACCTTAGAGACTAACAAATTTATTAGAGCATAAGCTTTCGTGGACTACAGCCCACTTCTTCGGATGCATATAGAATGGAACATATATTGAGGAGATATATATACACACATACAGAGAGCATAAACAGGTGGGAGTTGTCTTACCACCTCTGAGAGGCCTCTCAGAGGTGGTAAGACAACTCCCACCTGTTCAT